TTGGTGAAGATGATCATCCAAATGTCATAGACCAAATGGAGCAAACAGCACGCAGACCTAGTGGTGGGAGGAAAAAATCCTTAAATAAGAGTCACGGGGGAATGATTAATGGACTTCAATGTCTGTACACTAATGCGCAAAGCATGGAAATAAACAAGATGAGCTTGAGCTCTTGGTACAGCAAACTAAATATGACATAATAGGCATCACTGAAACCTGGTGGGATAAGTCCCACGATTGGAATGTAATAATGGGGGGATACAATCTATTTCAGAGAAACAGACCAGACAAGAAAGGAGGAGGAGTGGCGTTATATGTCAGGGATGTGTATACCTGTGAAGAGATCCAAGATTTAGAACCTCAAAGCCAAAGTGAGAGCATTTGGGTCAAAATTAAGGGAGAGAAGAATAACAGTGACCTCATTGTGGGAGTTTACTATAGATCCCCAAGCCAAACGGAGGACATAGATGATGCCTTCCTGGAACAGATGGCCAAGCATGCAAAAGGAAGGGAGATAGTAGTAATGGGGGACTTCAATTACCCGGATATTTGTTGGATGTCAAACTCAGCCAAGAGCATAAGGTCAAACAGATTCCTCACTGGCCTTGCAGACAACTTCATTGTCCAGAAAGTGGGAGAAGCAACAAGAGGAACAGCCATTTTAGATCTGGTCCTAACCAATGTTGATGACCTGGTTAGTGGGGTAGAAGTGGAAGGATCATTAGGCGCGAGTGATCATGCTCTTCTGAAGTTTACTATACAGCGGAAAGGAGCAGCCAAGCATACTAGGACTCAATTTCTTGACTTTAAGAAAGCTGACATCATAAAACTTAGGGAAGTGCTGGGTGAGATCCCATGGACAGTAATACTAAAAGGAAAGGGAGTTCATGATGGCTGGGAGTTTGTTAAGAGGGAGATACTAAAAGCACAACATCAGGCAATACCAATGAGACAGAAACATGGAAGGTGCCTAAAGAAGCCAGGGTGGCTATCTAAAGAACTTTTAACCGAGTTAAGATTAAAAAAGGATGTGTACAAAAAATGGAAAAGGGGGGAAACCACCAAAGAGGAATTCAAACAAATAGCCAGCACGTGTAGACACAAAGTCAGAAAAGCTAAAGCACAGAATGAACTCAGGCTTGCTAGAGATGTTAAAAGCAACAAATAAGGCTTTTATGGGTATGTCCGTAGCAAAAGGAAGAACAAAGAAACAGTGGGGTCACTCAGAGGAGAAGATGGTGAAATGCAAACAGGGGACACAGAAAGAGCTGAACTCCTCAATGCCTTCTTTGCCTCAGTCTTCTCCGATAAAGAAAACAATGCCCGACCTGAAGAATTTGGAGCAAATGATTCAGCAAAGGAAACACAGCCCAGAATAACTAAGGAGATAGTACAAGAATACTTGGCTAGTTTAGATGTATTCAAGTCTCCAGGGCCAGATGAACTGCATCCAAGAGTATTAAAAGAACTGGCAGATGTGATCTCAGAACCACTGGCAGTCATCTTTGAGAATTCCTGGAGAACAGGCGAAGTCCCGGCAGACTGGAGGAGGGCAAATGTTGTCCCTATTTTCAAAAAGGGAAAAGAGAGGACCCAAATAATTACCGCCCAGTCAGTCTGACATCAATACCAGGGAAGATTCTGGAGCAGATCATTAAGCAAACAGTCTGTGAGCACCTAGAAAGGAATGCTGTGATCACCAATAGTCAGCATGGATTTCTGAAAAAGAAGTCATGTCAGACTAACCTGATCTCGTTTTTGACAGAATTACAAGCCTGGTAGATGAAGGGAACGCAGTGGATGTAGCCTACCTTGATTTCAGCAAGGCATTTGACAAGGTGCCCCATGATATTCTTGTAAAGAAGCTGGTAAAATGCGGTCTTAACTATGCTACCACTCAGTGGATTTGTAACTGGCTGACTGACCGAACCCAAAGGGTGCTTATCAATGGTTCCTCTTCATCCTGGAGAAGAGTGACTAGTGGGGTGCCACAGGGTTCTGTCTTGGGCCCGGTCTTATTCAACATCTTTATCAACGACTTGGATGATGGACTCAAGGGCATCCTGATCAAATTTGCAGATGACACTAAACTGGGAGGGGTGGCTAACACCCTAGAGGACAGGATCACACTTCAAAACGACCTTGACAGATTAGAGAACTGGGCCAAAACAAACAAGATGAATTTTAACAGGGAGAAATGTAAAGTATTGCACTTGGGCAAAAAAATGAGAGGCACAAATACAAGATGGGGGACACCTGGCTTGAGAGCAGTACATGTGAAAAGGATCTAGGAGTCTTGGTTGACCACAAACTTGACATGAGCCAACAGTGTGACGCGGCAGCTAAAAAAGCCAATGCAATTCTGGGCTGCATCAATAGGAGTATAGCATCTAGATCAAGGGAAGTAATAGTGCCACTGTATTCTGCTCTGGTCAGACCTCACCTGGAGTACTGTGTCCAGTTCTGGGCACCACAGTTCAAGAAGGACATTGACAAACTGGAACGTGTCCAGAGGAGGGCAACCAAAATGGTCAAAGGCCTGGAAACGATGCCTTATGAGGAACGGCTAAGAGAGCTGGGCATGTTTAGCCTGGAGAAGAGGAGGTTAAGGGGTGATATGATAGCCATGTTCAAATATATAAAAGGATGTCACATAGAGGAGGGAGAAAGGTTGTTTTCTGCTGCTCCAGAGAAGCGGACACGGAGCAATGGATCCAAACTACAAGAAAGAAGATTCCACCTAAACATTAGGAAGAACTTCCTGACAGTAAGAGGTGTTCGACAGTGGAATTTGCTGCCAAGGAGTGTGGTGGAGTCTCCTTCTTTGGAGGTCTTTAAGCAGAGGCTTGACAACCATATGTCAGGAGTGCTCTGATGGTGTTTCCTGCTTGGCAGGGGTTGGACTCGATGGCCCTTGTGGTCTCTTCCAACTCTATGATTCTATGATTCTATGATTCTATGATTCTATGTAAGATTAGAGTAGTAGTTGCTTGATAGTTTAAATGTTTTGCAGGCATTGGTAGTGGTGTATTTTCCCCTTTCCCGTTTATAGGTGTGTTTTTTAAAATTCCCCTTTATAGTTCTCACTAAAGAATAATTGGATGACGGTCAGTGTTTTGGACGAAACCGAGCATGGCATTTCTGAAAACAATTATTTTTGAGGCCCTCCTTTTGTTTCATTCTGAGTAAGAAGACACACTGTTGCCATTGCTAATGGATATAATTGCTGCTGAGTGCCCCCAGGTCCTCCCCTCCCCTGCACTTTGTTGCTGCTGCTTTGCTTTCCAGTGTTGCCACACAGGACTACCACAATCTGATTTTGTGAATGCTGTGCATACGACACATCTGTCCTCTTCCTTTGTCCCCTCTCCAATCCATTATATGTTCAGCTGCATTCTTGTGAAACATTATGGTACACGTACATTTTATATATATAAAAGATGTTTCTACATCCACATCATCTTGGGCAAAGTTGCTCTAAGTTTCAGAACATAAAATCTGGTATATATATATAAAGCTCTAGTGCTGTTGAAGTTATATGATGTGGTCTATTTGCTGATGTCATGCTTGGATTTTGGCTCAGTCAGTTTAAAACGGAAGTGGTGCTATTGAACTGTTTTCTTGTCCAGATTAAAAAAAAAGAATGCATGTATTGATTATGTATTTATGTTTCACTTCAGGTGATCTCCTAGCAAGTTTTTGAGGGCTGCATAGTGTGACAATGCAGAGTGCTACTACTTGGGATAGTTGCCTAATTGTCGTGTTTGACTCCCGAGCTGTGAACCTGTATTGCAAGTTCCAGGATTATTTGTCTCAATGATGACATTCCCTTCTGCTTTTCCTCCCCTGGTTTCTGTATGCTGAACAAAGTTCCTGATGAATGGACACTCCCCTATTGTCTTTCAGGGCATGGGAGCTGGTGTAAAGGTATGCCCTCTCTCCCCAGCCAATCAGTGGAAAATGGTGGTGAACCTAGCTGTGTGGGCTGTGAACTGCAGCTTGATAGAACTACCCATCAGAAAGGAATAAAGCTCAGTATAGACTTTCAGCATAGTTTATTTGCTACTTCTGTTAGCTGACAATACTATAAAATATGTTGCTCTATTAGATGACTGCTGTCTTTTTAAGACTGGACTATTGGGAACAAATTGCTAATGAAAGAATTCTGCATTTACAATAACACTAGTATGTAGCACAATATGGCCTAGGAGCTGATGTGCCATAAAATTCAGTATGCCAACCTACCGGTACCCTTTCTGCAGGGCTGAGGTGGGTGACAACTGAGGAGACAACCTTTCTGGTGGTGGTGCGTGGTGATGACCCATTTATGGATACTTGTCTCAGAGAGACTTGCCACAGGTTAAGACCTCTTTATTTGCCCAAAGCTGCTTAATAAAACACGATTCTCTGCTAAGACAGTTGTACTTATGGTGCTATTTGCTGGGTTTTCTGTTGTTGTTGCTGATTCTGCTTTTATACATTTATTCCTTTCTGCTGCTCTGGTATTTCATTTTTATTGTTTAAATTATTCTAAAGTTAGTTAATATTGTGAGCTGCTTTGGAAACTTGTTCAAATTTAAAAGTAGGATATAAGTACCGGTAAGTTCTGTAAATAAAACTGGCCATGTGTAAGAAATGAAATTACCTATGTTTTTCCCCCCCAACCGTCACTGGATAATTTCGGTGATCTTCAATTTCTGATACTCAAAATAACCTGATATATAGTGGTGCTTCTAATTTGTTTGTATTACCTTGCTTTGTAATTACCTCGCTTTGTAATTCTGTGCTGCACAACAGCCATATATTAGTTTTATTTGTTTTTCTTTAAATGGAGGGCAGATTTGAGAAAAAAGGAAGTTTGGGGGAAGTTTGGTGCATTTTCTTAGGGACCAAACACTTTATTGCGAGATTTGCAGTGAAAGGGATATTGAACTAAATCTGCTTTCTGTATTCCAGATGCAGCTGTGATCCTCGGCTGTGTCTCTCATTGAAGGGACCTGATGTTTTACGTTATTGGTAAGCAAATAAAGTATTTTTACAAAATCCAGAAGCAGCCTGTAGCTTCTTTTAATTCATTCATGTGGACTTCATTGTCTGTTTTTCTAATACTGTGTTTGTTAACTTACATGCCATTTTCTCCTTGCGTTATCATTGGTCCCGAATCTTCCTCAGTTTCTTTCCTTAGCTTTTGTTGTGGTGACAGCAGTCTTTGAGGCAGACATTTTAGTGCCTGAGGTAGAACATTAAAATGATACTTCCTTGCCATGGGGTAAAATATAATAAACTATGTGTAATTTACAAATTGTTGCCTCAGAATGAACTGTCAATGGTAGAGCTAGCCCTTCTGAGATCTCCAGGGTTAAATGTTGTAAACTCTCAGCTAGAGCCTCCATGGTGATTGATTTTCAATGCCTTCTTGGATTAATAACTACAGTGTATTTCCCCCCCTTTCTATAGGTGGGATCACAGTATCTGTGGTAGCTTTCTTTTTCACCATTAAGTTCCTCTTTGAACTTGCCGCACGTGTAGTCAGCTTCCTCCAGCATGAGGACCGGGAGCGCAGAGGAGAGCGGACAATTTATGACTACGTGCGAGGCAACTACTTGGACCCCCGCTCTTGCAAAGTCTTCTGGGACTGGAAGGACCCATATGAGGTGGGCCACAGCATGGCCTTCCGAGTACATGTAAGTGAATATTTTCTATTTCCATGAAAACCTAAGGAGTGGATCTAGGTTTTATTTCAAGACAAACGTCTATAGAGATTATGGGACTGTTCCTTGGAGGTTTTGTGCCAGTTTTGTTACTTAGGCTGAACAGCTTAATGCTGGTGGTTATCAACAGCACAGACCACGTTTTTGCTTTTGCAGTGAGTTTGGGTGAGCTTCTGACTTGTAAGTTTAGACTGGTCAAACCTAGTATCGCTCTTTTCTTCTGGGTTTGTTTTTGTTGAATTTGTTTTGTATGCATATTTAAAATTTGGTGGGCACATATCTTGAAGCATGATTGGGCATGATGATTTTTTTTGCAAATGGTGCCAGCATTTATATCAGGGATGTTGTAAGCAGAGAGGGAATAAGCTATCAGTGATTACTAGTCATGTTGGCTGGTATAATACCTCTAGGATCAAAGACAGCAAATCAGAATACCAGTTGCTGGGAACAACAAGACAAGGCTATTGTGCTCATGTTCCACAGGTATCTGGTTAGCCACTCTGGGAAACAGGATGCCAGTTTAGTTAAGCCTCTGGTCTATTCCAGAAGGGCTCTTCTTATGTTCTTCAATAATTACAGAACCGTTCATCACCTAATATTGGGCACTAATTGTGATACAGCATATTAAGATGCTGTTTTGCATTTATTTTTTAAATCCCCATGCAGTTATTCTATAAGAATGGCCAGCCCTTCCCTGCTCTTCGTCCTGTGGGCCTGCGAGTTCACATCTGCCATGTGGAGCTAGCAATGGATATTCCTGTGACCCAGGAAGTACTTCAGGAGCCCAGTTCCAATGTGGTGAAGGTGGCATTTACTGTGCGGAAGGCTGGGCGCTATGAAATCAGCATAAAACTTGGAGGCTTGAATGTGGCATATAGCCCTTACTACAAAGTCTTTCAGCCAGGTAAGGCCTTTTGGGCCAATAACAAACCAAGGCATAGAAAGGAGAGCATGTCTTGTAATACGCCCCTTGTAATATTACATGCGAGTCTAAGCTGGGTGTTGTTCCTTATTTCAGGAATGGTGGTTCCTTCGAAAACCAAAATTGTTTGCCATTTCTCCACTTTGGTGCTGACATGTGGGCAGCCTCACACTCTGCAGATAGTTCCCAGAGATGAGTATAATAATCCTACCAGTAACTCTGTATCACTGATAGATGAGCACAACTACAGCCTCTCAATCCATGAGGTGAGTCCATTTCTGCTCTATCTTCTCTAAGACTGGAATACACTGATATAGTCTAACTTATATTCCTTTTGTCTAGCTTGGTCCCCAAGAAGAAGAACCTTCTGATGTTTTGTTTGAAAAGTCTGTGGTGTCTAATCGACAGACTTATCAAGTTTTCCTGAGACTCACCCTACTCCGTAGGGGATGTTTCCGTGCCTGCATCTCCTACCAAAGCCAGCCTATTAGCAATGGAGAGTTCGATATAATTGTTTTAAATGGTAAGTTTAGAAAAATACATTATTTTTACTGCCATGTTAACTCCCACGATGCTGTTGCCAGCCATTAAAAGCTAATATGTATTTCATTTATTGCATTTGTATCTTGCCTGTTGTCCAGCAGTATCAGTCTGACATTTTAGCCTCATAACAAGTGAGGTTTGTATCTTGCAGAGAGTGAAAAGAGTATCGTGGAGCGAAATGTTTCTACCTCAGGGGTCAGTATCTATTTTGAGGCCTACCTTTACAATGCTAGTAGCTATGCCAATACCCAGTGGCAACTTCCACCCCTGCATTGGGGTTCCTCTCAGCGCCGACCTTCCACTGCTACTGAAGATGAGGATGAAGACTCTCCTTCTGACAGCCAGACCCCTGAGAAAGTGAAGAAGCCAAAAAAAGTGTATTGCTATGTTTCACCCAAGGTAAGACTAGTTCGTCTATTCCCTAGTTGCACAGGATTTATTGCTACTATGTGTGGCTGTGTTATCAATCGGCTTCCAGGAACCATTTCCCTATGATTGTTGGCCATTATTACTGTTGTGAGAGACTGTGTATTGTGCTATGAAACAGCTGGTGTATGTTTCCAAGCATATATTGTAGACAAAATTGTTCAGGACCTCTTGGATTATTCCTCTGCTAACCAGAGAACTGACCTGTGGCTACATTTTATGGTGGCTGCTGGGTTGTCAGCAAAAATGGAATTGACCATTGTTCAAGTTCTTTCAGATTGGTTCATTTTTTAAAATATGTGACTCTCCATTGTTTTTGTTCTTTTACTTCAAAGCAATTCTCAGTAAAGGAGTTCTACTTGAAGATCATTCCTTGGCGCCTCTTTACCTTCAGAGTGTGTCCTGGCACCAAGGTATGTTGGTAAAATTCCCCAGTGAATAATTGGATTTGTTTTGTGAAAGGTATATTCCGTTTGTCAGCCTAATCACATAAGATTGAAAACTTTCACTGTTAGGTTTTTAGATTTGCTTGGGAGCCTGCTGTGGTTTTCTATATTGCATCCTGCAATATAGCTTTCAGGTTCTTTTTTTCTTGTAATTTTCCTCCTCCCCTAATGAAGCATGTACTGAGGCTCATTCTACAAGAATTGCAATTTATAAAACCTTCATCTCAGCTGTAGGCTTGCCAGCAGCTTTGCTATTAACTGGTTCTGAGCAGATAGAGGGGCAAGGAAATGTGCCCAGGGGGTAACCTTGCCACTTCTGATCAATGTGCTGTGCTTTCTGGTAAATGATTCCCCGCCCTTTCCTGCATTTCTTTGCTGCTAGTTTTCTTACCACGGGCCTGACCCTGTGCACAAACTGCTGACGTTAGTGGTGGATGATGGGATCCAGCCTCCTGTAGAGCTGAGCTGCAAGGAGAGGAACATCTTGGCGGCAACTTTCATTCGCTCGCTGCATAAAAATATAGGTAAAAAGAGTCTGGGGCATAAAATTCTGTTGCATGGTATCTAATGCATCACAGCTTGCATAACACATACTACAGAGGACAGCTGCCATTCTATGGTGTAGACTGCAAGTATTTTCAGAATGGATTGCATCCTTTTTATGTTGTGGTGTGCTGCTTAGCTCAGTGTTTGTTTATAAATGTTGAGGAGTTCAGTTTGATTTAGGATATTGTAATTATTATAGAGCAATCACACATGCTTCCCCTGTTCTTGATAAATTTCAGTCTGTTGCTCTCTTCCTGATATCTCTTTAGAGGAGTTCACATAACTATCTACGTATGTGTTGAGGTTATGCATTCTCTCCCTCCCCCTCCTATCTTCTTTAGTGCTTCTAAATAAATATGCTTATTTAACCTCTCCAGCTTGGTCTCAGAATAGGGAGGTTTAAACCCTGAGCCCATGTGTATGTGATAGAGCCAGTGTGTGCACACAAATACAAATATGAAGAAATACTAGAGACAAGGAAATGTTAATGAATGCAATGTTTATGTTCTGTCTCCACAAAATAGTCTGTACAATTTTTTAAAACTATGATATGTATCCCTTTGTTTCCTCAAATCCTTTGTACTGAATTTTTTTACTCCTTTTGGGATGATAATCTGTCATATTTTATGACATTTCTGAAACAGATATGACCTTGTAAGGTGTTTTGAAGGAAACAGATATGACAATGGGCTTGTTGGTTTCAGGAGGCTCAGAGACCTTTCAGGACAAAGTAAACTTCTTTCAGAGGGAGCTGCGCCAGGTGCACATGAAGAGGCCCCATTCAAAAGTTACTCTAAAAGTCAGCCGCCACAACCTTCTGGAATCGGTGAGTGTGTCTGTGATACAGAAAGCTTGGAGTGTACATAGTTTTAGAGAAGTTCTGTAGATCATTTCCTTCCTGTTCCATGTTCTTTCACCTTGAGCTACAGAGTGGACTAGAGTGATATGAATTCAGGGTGATAGTGTATTCACACATATTCTGATTTTACACCTTCCTCTAAAATATTTAATTGTCTATGACCAGAGAAGTCTGCATTAAACCAACTATTAGTCATTTTTAATGTGGCAAAGCCTCAATGAGAAGCGAGGCAGCCCAGGGCAGGAAGCACAGAAACCATCAGCTCCTGACAGAACCATCAACAGCCTGAGAGAGATGCTTGGGCAGCTGCTCCCCCACCTCTGCTGGAGCTGCTCAAGACCCGTATTATGAGGGAACCCAGGCCAGGGAGCATGCATACCATCAACTCCCAGTTTGCTGAATGATACTTGCCCTCCTGCATTTTATATACTGTATTAGTTTTAAAATTGTAAATCAGCTTGGGTGCCTTGGCAGAAAGGTGGTACATAAATCCAAGGAACACATAAATAATAAGTTTGGGGAAGGGGTAGGAGGACGTGAATCCTAGTCTCTTTGTTATGTAAACTCTTACAAGATAATTAGTTTTAGTGCGGCAGACAGATAAAATCAAGGGAATTAAACTTCCAAGGGTGGGGGAAACTAAAACATTTTAAGTGGAAGATGAAGATTATCGTGAGTGTGAACTAGAGGATGTGCTGTCACTGGTAAGCAGCAAATGGCTTTAAATCATTTGACTGTCTACTATATCAGAGCCAAGAGTTGCCATAGGGTTTTTTTTTTAGTTTTCTGGTTTTGCTGTAGCTATAAATGGAACAGAGATTCTATGGCTTGACATTTCTAGTCGTTTTAAATATTTTGTTCAAAGCAAGCTTAGTCTTGAGGGAGCAGTGCATTAAAGTGATAGTATGTGTCACGAGGGCAAGTCATGAAACACTTTTATTTGTGAGCACTTAGGAAATGAGGACGAGAGCTCCTCAAATATTTATAATAAAAAAACCCCAGAACTTTCAGTCCCTATAGCTCAGTAGTGTGGATCCTTTTCATGTCAAGAGCCACATTACCTCAGTGAGGAGTATTACTTATAACTCTTAAATTGTGCTTTATAGATCCAATAATCTCTTAGATCACAGCAGGTGGGGTCAACACCCAAAGTAGGCAAAACCTTTTCTTTGTGTCATTCCCTCCAATCAGTTTTTCCTCTCACTCTCCTCTTCTCCTTATTCTCCTCTTTTCTGCAAACAACTGCTTGCACTGTCCTTGCACAAAATGCTGCATATGAAAGGCAATCAGGATTAGTTAGCATGGAAATGCTGCAGTCTGTTGTAGGATGAACAAACTGCTCCGTTCTTCCGCTAGCAGCTCTCTGGTCATGGAAAGAAGCTTTTCTCTCTCCCTCTCCAGTATAAAAATGTAACAGACTAAAAGTTTGCAAATGGAAAGGAATATGGATTGGTGCCTGAAACTAGTGGTTTCCTACAGCTCCCATAAGGTCACCCTTCTCTCACTTTAAGCTCCACCTTTACAATGAGATGATAGCAGTGTTCTGCTTGTCATCCTACAAGAGGGTGGAGGCAATCCCCACACTAGGCCTCAGCCCTGTGTACCAGAAGGAGCATCTCCATCCCCATTGTTCAACCCAAACACTAAAATCCAGCACCAAGGGCCTTCTGGAGGTTCCCACACTGCGAGGACTGAAGCTACAGGGAACCAGGCAGAGGGCCTTCTCAGTAGTGACGCCCAACCTGTGAAATGCCCTCCCATTAGATGTTATATAACATTTAGGAAACATCTGAAGGCAGCCCTGTATAGGGAAGCTTTTTGAGGTTTAAGGTTTTATTATGTTTTTTTACGTCCTGTAAGCCATTCAGAGTGGCTGGGGCAACCCAGTCAGATGGGCGGGGTACAAATAAGTTTTTATTCATTCATTCATTCTGTATGCATATACATAGGGGCCGAAGCATAATCCCAGTGGCCAAGCGGTAGAAACCTTGGACTGACTTTTCTTTACTAATATCTCTCGTAACAAAATAAAAAAATTCCTTCCAGTAGCACCTTAGAGACCAACTAATAGGTTTACCACACCTATCAGCCAACCACCCATTCCCACCACCCTTCTGAGTAATACCCCTCCCCACCCTCTCACTATATATAAGGGTCTGGTGACTTCTGTTTCAGTGTATCTGAAGAAGTGTGCATGCACACGAAAGCTCATACCAAGAACAAACTTAGTTGGTCTCTGAGGTGCTATGGGAAGGAATTTTTTTATTTTGTTTCGACTACAGCAGACCAACATGGCTACCTACCTGTAACTATCTCAATCCTAAGTACAGTGGTGCCTCGCAAGACGAAATTAATCCGTTCCGCGAGTGTCTTCGTCTAGCGGTTTTTTCGTCTTGCGAAGCAACCCTATTAGCGGCTTAACAGATTAGCGCTATTAGCGGTTTAGCGGCTATTAAAGGCTTATCGGCTTAGCGGCTTAGCTGCTAAAAGGCTATTAAAGGCTTAGCAGCTTAGATAAAGGGGGGGGGGAGCGGAAAAAAAATCTCAAGACTCTCAAGACATTTTCGTCTTGCGAAGCAAGCCCATAGGGAAATTCGTCCTGCGAAGCAACTCAAAAATGGAAAACCCTTTCGTCTAGCGGGTTTTCCGTCTTGCGAGGCATTCGTCTTGCGGGGCACCACTGTATGTTTACTTGAAAGTCCCACTGCTCATCAGGAAAGTGTGTAGGATTGCAGCCTAAGATTTGGAAGAAGGAGTAAAGACTAATTCTCAGACTAGCAGATGACATAAAGCAAATAAAGGCTATATAAACTACAATTAAGAAGAATATAGATCCATTAGTAATTTTGTCTTTAAACAGACAAAATATTTATACAGCATGAATGTGTATGCTCATTTTTGTTTGTGGTAGATATGCATACACACACATTAGAAATAAAAACAGAATGCAAAATAAGGCGATAAACTGACATTCAAAAATGCTACTGAGAAGAATCTGGGAGTTGCATCTGAGTACCAAAAGAAGTGACCTTACAGTAGCAATGGTAAGTGGTATTTTCAGCCAACTGTAGAAGAGAAGCTCTGAAGGGGGATGAGTATTAAATACTACTACAATTCTCCACTGAAGAGCAGTATCTACAGATGAGAGAGGCAGTAGAAATAAGTATTGGAGAATTGCGTGTTCCTGAAAATGAGATCTCATGTTAGCCCTCTTGGTTGCAAGCATCAGTTTATACTGCGTTTTCCTTATGTTCCTAGTCACTGAGGGCAACAAGGAATTTTTCTGTTTCTGACTGGAGCAAAAACTTTGAAGTGATTTTCCAGGATGAAGAAGGTGAGCTAACCTGTAATTGCATTATTGTTGCCAGAAAAAGAGTGTTTGGGTTTCTACTACTAGCAACCAATTTTTTATGAAGTTTCCATAATATCTCACAAGCATCTATAGATTTATTCTCCAATCACCTTCATACTGGCTATATAGTAAAGCTAAGTGAAAACGCTATTGCACTTAAGTTCTGCTTGCAGGCTGCCCATGGCCACTGTAAGAACAGGAAACTGAGCTAGATGGGTCTTTAGCCTGGTCAAGTTTTGTGAATCCCAGTCCAGTTAATTTACATTACATCCTTTTATTATCTTGTCTGAATATAAGGTGCCTGGTGTGCTCAAAAGAACTAATGGGAGGAAAAAGTATATGGGTGTTACATTTATCCCACTTTGGGTAGAGTGGGATGTTGCATATAAATTGTATACAGTAGTATGGTACTCCCTCTAAAGTGAAGAGTTTTTTTTTTGACAGGTGTGTTTTAGAAGGCATAGGATTACCTCAAGATCTAACTGGTCTCTGATTTGTTCTGTCTTGTAGCCTTGGACTGGGGAGGTCCTCGCAGAGAGTGGTTTGAATTGATCTGTAAAGCTTTATTTGACACTACCAATCAACTTTTTACCCGCTTCAGTGACAACAACCAAGCTCTGGTTGGTATTTTCCCATCATTCATTGGTGGAAACAGGAAACATTGCAGCTGTTCATGTTTTCTGTAGAGAATTCACATTCTTTTTCAGACTTTTTCTAGTTTTCTCCTGTAAACAGAAAGAAAATTGGTTTGCCTCTTTCATGGGGGTATTAAAAGGCAAACTTAAGCAGGAAGATGAATTGTCATGAGTAGTACAGATAAATTCTATGGCAGGTATGAGAAGTGCAATCTGTAATTTGATTTCCTAAGTCATATTTTCTAAAATATAGAAAGTAACACTGTTTCTTTGCAAACTATATATGGCATGCTCGTGTACCGGCATGCCTGTTTCAGTGCTGTTGAGAATACACTCAGAAAAACAATCTTTAAAGGATGTGAAGATCTTTGACCACAGGGTACAAGGAGAAGAGTACATGGGGCTTTTTCAGGCATTAAATCTAATCCTAAATTAGAGCTAATTCTAAGCTGTTGTAACTGTGAGCTGCCTTGTTTGTAGGTACATCCCAACCCCAACCGGTCACCTTTTCTGCGGCTGAAAGTGTATGAATTCGCAGGGCGCTTGGTTGGAAAGTGCCTCTATGAGTCATCTTTGGGAGGGGCTTACAAGCAGCTGGTGAGAGCTCGTTTCACTCGGTCTTTTTTGGCTCAAATCATAGGATTGCGGATGCATTATAAGGTAAAATTGCCTGTGGGTTTTGTTCTGCTTTCGAGTATAAAGCAGAGACCAAGCACGATTCCACAGCACAAACTAATTTTGTTTTCTTTCCTTCCCCTTCTCTATCTCCTTTTTCCTCTTAGTATTTTGAGACAGATGACCCAGAGTTCTATAAATCTAAAGTTTGCTTCATCCTGAATAATGATGTCAGTGAGATGGAGCTAGTCTTTGCTGAGGAAAAATACAGCAGATCAGGACAACTTGAGAAGGTAAGAGCCGTTGGTTAGGATGGTGCAATTTGAAATCCTTTTATCCGCAATGGGGAAAGGAGCAATGTCTCAATAGGAGGGGAAAGATGTGAAGGGTTCATCATTGTGTGGATTTATAGAGTAGATGGGACTCCACTCATAAATTCTCTCATGCCTTGTTTTCAGGAGGTTGAGCTGGTAACAGGTGGTGCTCAAATGCCAGTTACAAATGAGAATAAAATTTTCTACCTGAATCTTCTTGCACAGTACAGACTGGCGAATCAGGTTAGAGAGGAAGTGGAACACTTCTTGAAAGGTAATGTGTATGCTCTGCACTTTTTTTTAATTAATGTTGTTCAGAATTGTTCTTTGTTGATGCCCTTGCCTGGCTGGCATGATTTTTATCTATTCTGCTCTCATCTTCTAGGTCTCAATGAACTGGTCCCTGAAAACCTCCTTGCTATTTTTGATGAAAATGAACTTGAGGTAAACTAAGATATTTGCTGTCTTTGATCCTGTTGCACCTTCCTCAGATGAATGTGAGATAGCTGGGGGGTAAGGAAGAGTGGGGAACCCCCATTCACAAGCATTCCCTGTACGGATATAGTAACATAAATAATTTTAACCATACCAATTTTTATGAGACTTTCCATATAAACTAGATAAACTTTTAGCCGGCACAAAATATATGTTCACTCAAAACTCTTAGTTTCTACTGATTTGCTAGGCAATTTCAAGTGCCTTTCCAATCCAGTTGAATCTCTGCTCTTCCCTTCCTCTGACTTGTGATAATAAAGAAACAAGTGCCTGATTCTATGACCCCAACACTAAAAAGTCTCCTATCCAACCCTGCAGCTTAAACAACACTCTGGTGCTCTAGTTCAGATTGATTACTTCTCACTCTGTACCTAACCTACTATTCCCTACAGTATATGCCACATCCGAGATATAATGTCATTAGACTTCTTTTTCCCCAGAAGTTTCCATACAGTACTGTAATAGTTAACAAGGGTATTTGGACACATGCTTGAGTTACCAAGTCCCCAATGCTGCATTAGAGCAGAAAGTTTTAAAACCTAGAAGGAGTGATAGCTCTAGCTTTTAATCCTGAGCATCAAAAATACAAAGCTGACTGTGTTGATTGAATGGTACCTAGTTTAAAGGAAAAAAGACAACTGTACTCTGACTGAAACTTTATTTTCTTCCAGTTGCTAATGTGTGGTACTGGAGACATCAGTGTCTGTGATTTCAAAGCACATGCTGTAGTAGTGGGAGGTTCTTGGCATTTCCGAGAGAAGGTAAGAAAGATTAATTGCCTGCTCTACCAGACTGGATTGGTTGTACTTTGTGTAGGTCATGACTGAGACAGTGATTATGTATGTCTTCATGAGGAAACACTACTTCGTTTTCCTTTGGCTGGCTTTTAGACCTCATGAAAGCTCTTTATACGTGCATCTTTTACGCTTTCTCAGTTAAGGGCAATGCTTCCTTTGGGCCAGATCTTTAAGTTACTTAGCAACAGCAAACATTTGTGCACTCCTGTAATTTTATTACAAGGTTCCAAAGAAACATCAAAAGTAGCAGTGGAGCTTAAAGTGAAATATCGCTTTGGGAGGTGTGATTATGGTAGCGTACATTAATTCATTTTCTGGCCTGTCCTCATAACTGGGTGGTTTGCAAGAAATTTAGTAGGTCCCCCCCTCCCCCCGTTCTTGCTTCCCATACCTCTTGCTGTGTCTTCCAGGTTATGCGGTGGTTTTGGACAGTGGTCTCCAGTTTCACACAAGAGGAACTGGCCAGGCTGTTGCAGTTCACCACTGGTTCTTCTCAGCTGCCTCCTGGAGGATTTGCTGCACTTTGCCCATCTTTCCAGATCATTGCAGCTCCGACGCACAGTACACTGCCAACAGCCCATACTTGGTGAGTACCGGTACCTGTCACTGAGTCTTTCTGTCATCTGCAGCAAGCTGATCATGAGCAGCCTTCCACTGATCTTGCCCATATGTTTTTTCAGATATTTTTTAATGCCATATAACTGCTCAGGTGGGTTACCCTTGCCTATGAAATGCTGAAAGCGTTATGTGTACATGTCTCATGCTATGTACTAGTTTTGTTCTTTCTTTCAGTTTTAACCAGCTGTGCCTCCCCACTTACGATTCCTATGAAGAGGTGCACAAGATGCTGCAGCTGGCCATCAGCGAGGGCTGTGAGGGTTTTGGCATGCTCTGACTCCCACAGAAGGAGTCCATCTCGCTTCCTTAATTCTTCAGGGCATTGCCCAGCCCCACTTCACTACTCCAGTCTCATGCCCAACCTAAGGGCAATGGAGAACGGAGCAGAGGCACCACGCAAACAGAAATGTCAATCTGCAATGTCACATGGAGGCCTCCCCATGTCTGAAGTACATTATTGGGAGCACATATTGCCCCTTCCCTTTTCCAGTATGGTACATGAAATGGAGTGGAGTTCTTCTCTCGAGGTGACATGGTACTTGCATTTCACAGGACGTTACTTGTCTGGTTTTCTGAAGGAAGAAAGCTCATAAGCAAAGAGTTCCAATTTGTTACAGGAAGAGATTTGTAACTTACAATATTCCAGTTGCTTTGGGGATGAATGGACCACTATGGAGCTCTAAATCCCCAGATTATGGGAAGCCTTAATACTTTTCCATGCCTTTGCCCAAGTTTTCACATAAGTTAATCCCCTTTCCACTTGGATGTTACTGGAAGGCATAAAATCACCCCCACCTTGCTTTTTAATTTTCTTAGCCACTTTCCCCTGGATGCTGTCAGCACTTATTCTTGCAAAAGAGGGAAGGCAGCATTTATGTCACTGGATTACTAGTGCTGATATTGACAGTGACCTCGTTCTACCTCTACCAAGAGCTGGCAACAGGATATTATTTCTGCAGTGGCAGCAGCTTCTGTTGCCTTTGCCACGGAACTGGAAGAAACTTGTTTCTCCTCCCATCCCTATTTCTGACCATGGTCATGAACTTTGGCAGGAGCTTGTTTTCCCTACCATCCAACTAATTTCCCTTCCTCATAGGATAGATGAATGTATCTACCTGAGGTCTGATGCATATGCTAGCACTGACCTTTTGGGGTACTTAGAATGAGGTGGTGGTAGGCCAAGAGGCAGCTATGATTGTATGCATCAAACATACATTTGTATGCAGGTAGAGTGAGGTGATCAGTATTGGATTGGGCCCAGTAGCTCATTCTCTCTCCTATTCTACACAGACAGGCGTCTACCTCTCCCACATGACAGCCAGAGTATTCTCTAGCATGCTTCGGGCAGAGAATTGTTAAATAAGGTATTGCTACCTGTGTCCTTCCCCCCGCCCCTGATAACCTGCTTTTTTGTGTTCTGAGCATTCCATGACATTTGGAGTGGGGTGTGGTTAAACTGCGGGTGCTTATCCAGGCAGTAATGAAGTGGGTCTGCAAGGCAACACATTGCACTACCCACACTTCAGACTACATGAGGAAGCCAAGATGAGCTTTCATGTACAACTGACCTCTTAATTCTGAACACGTCCTTTCCACTGCTCCCATTTCCTTGGCAATGAAGGAGTGGGAATTCAGGGATCTCAGCTGGCAGTCTAGCCATTTTTTTGTCAGCAAAGCCAAAATCTGATTGGATTGTGAACTGAATATTTTGTTGGCACCGGAAGTGCATTTCTCCTGGTCAGGAGAGAGATGTTGGTGGCTGTTACTAAATGGGAAGAGCCTACAATATGACTGCTTGGATTGAGGGAGTCCCCCCCGCCCAGACTAGACTCTTAATTGGATGTCTCATAAGAACAAACTTAGGAAAAATACAATTTATAGTTGTGCCAGCATTTTTAGTTCAATCATTCTGCCATAGATTGGGGCTATAGCATTGTTCAGATGACACATTTTGTTATTATTATTTTTAGATAGCTGTACTCCCCCCGCCCAACATAAACAGAATCATTTGCAGATCAGAGGGGAAAAGACAATTTGCAAACTTGCTTAAGTAGAAGTTCAAGCCATTATTTTGCCAAAAATGTTAGAACTCTGAGTATTGGGACAACTCAGGAATCCCTTCCTTTTGGGGCATTTTTAGAGACCACCACTGTATTTTCCTTCATGGCAGGCATATTTCCCCTCCTTTAAGCAGTTGCTCTTTTTAAAAGCATGTACATGCCATCTTATTGCACTAAGGGCGGCTTCTGTAATCAGTGCAGTTAGGGCTCCTGAATGCCTTTTGACGCTACCCACTCCTCTCCCCAGGGACCAAAAGGAGGTTATGCTGTGCAGCTCAGCCAGTTGATGGTTGTAGGGTGCTGCTTGGTGCTGTTCCAGTCCTTTGTCTTGTTCCCTGGTCTACTGGAGGCTTTTCCAGCCATGGCTCGAGGTTGGTTCTGCTACATCTTCCTCAGGAATCCCCTCCTTTCTTCTTTAGAGCTCAGCTGTTTTTATACTGAGGACTGAGTGGCTGGATATTCAGCAGACATCCTCTGCTTGAAACCACTCACCTAATAAAATGTATTTGGCACTTCTTGCCTCTTTGCAGATGCGAAGGATTTTCTTTTTACACAAGCACAGTCAGAGCAGTGGTGGATGCTGCTAGTTCTTTGCTTAATAATGCACTTGTGTGTTTTCTCCTACTCTTGCCCCCATCATCATCAGCAGGTCCATTCTTCCCAACGCTTTATAATTTCAATGCACAGGCTCTGATTTTCCTAAATCTTACTTGTTCTTTCCTAACCTTGTGTGTTGCCCTGATTCCCGTGCGAAGACATGGTACGGGCTGTGCTCTAGCCATCTATACTGTGTGTATGCGTGTCTTCTGAGGAGGTTTGTTCCTTTTCATTGGCCCTAATTTGTTCCATCTAATGTTAAGTGCATTGGTTTCTAGGATAGCGGTTATGCTCATGGTACAATCTCAAGTAGATCTCTTTCACCTGGAGCTGCTGTGGATACCAGAGGACTTGGCCTGCATCTGAGAACTTATCTTGCATGTTTTAGAAACCAAGACCTATTACTTTAGTTTGGCCAAGGCCTGTTTCCAGATAGCCAGCTCCAAAAGGAATTAAGCAAGATTATGTAATCCTCTAATAGATTATTCTGTAAATAGTTTGTACAATAAATAAAATATTTAAAATTTGGTGTGCTTGTCATATATCATGAAAATTGCTCTTGTATTGTTTTCCATGCAAGGCTTCTCTGAATAGTTTCCATCCCATTTCTTAAGACAATTTTATTACTGACATTTTGGCACCAACTCTGTTGTAGTGCAAACTATAGCTTCAAATTACAAAGTTTCAAAATGAATGTAAGCAACGGTGGTGCTTGCATGTTTGAAACCCACTCCCAAAATAATTTTGCTGAGGCACTTGCCAGAACTTGTGTAGGATTGAAGTGAAAAGCTGGCTTCACAAAATAAATTGGGATTATCCTAGCAATTGCCTGGACACAGCCATTTACATGCTATTATTGGACATGTATTTCAAACTAAAAAGGAGTGATTTTTGTGATCCTAACTCCACAGATCACTTCCCTCTATGCCTTGGACAATGCTATTAACATAACATTAAAAAAATAATACTTTAGATGCTTGTGTTTGATGAAATGACAACATATTATTAAAATAAGAGAGTATAGAAACACACTTTTCAAAACAACGGTCTTACATTCCAGTCAATGACTACTAAAATAAAATCCAATAACCCAAATGCACAAGAAATACATACTTGAGTAGCAAACAAACTTGAGCCAGAGTGAACCTTTGAAAAAGCTTTCTCCAAACAGCAAAATTTTAATTAAATGGTAAAGGAGAAGAGAAATACACGAGGTTCTCTGTTTGGGGACTTCCAAATAGATGAGGCAGCTAGGGAGAAAGCCCTGGTCCCCGCTAATTTCAGCTCTGACGGAGCAAATGTCTCCCAGTCTGAGAATGGGAAGAATATATGGGAAGGTACTTATTCAGGTACATGACTCAAGTCATTTTGAGATTTATAGGTAATAAGTACCTAAAAACTACCTGGGTAGTTTTTAGGTACTTTACTTTACAGTACTTTACTGTATACTTTACAGCAGGGATGGAGAACCTGTAGGCCTCCAGATGTTGATGCAGCTCCCATCTGCCAGCCACTATTGCCTGTAGTGGATGATGGGAGTTGTAGTCCAGCAACATTGGGAGGGCCATAAGTAGTCCACTCCTATGTATGTATAGTATAGTATGTTTCTCTGCAGCCTTAATGTGGATTTAGAGGAAGAAAGGGGATTATAATTTTGTGAAATGGTGCTTCATCTTTCCTGAACGTCTGCAGAGAAGATTCAATACCTATTTGTGGCTTTGGTTTTCATTCCGTAAGGCATTTGGTTTCCAGCAATCATCATTTCCTTTTGCACATAGTGATCAAGAAGTTGATTAGGGCAAAGCAGACAACCTGATTTCCCAGGATTTAAAGGAAACAAGCTCATTGCTGCTTCTTGGCCACTAGAGGGAAGCCTGCACTTAAAACATAACTACTGCCAGTGTCTCCATACCCATCATGATCATACATCTGAAATGTACATCCATAAGATGGCTTTACACACCAAAACTTATTTTTAAACTTCTATCCTGTTCTTTCCCATGAAGGAGCCCAGGATGTCAAAACTACAAAACAGCAGGATGATACTTAAAACACACATCTTAAAACAGTTGCATATCCTCACAGTTATAAGTTTCAAGGTGGGGAGGAACAGTATACTTCACCCACCAATTCCCTGGGTGAACAGGGATGTTTTAAAATTTCTCTTTAATTTTGTTAATGATGGACAGGTGTACCTCACCAGCATGGGCATTCCATAAATGGGGGACCATTACTTTAAAAGAAAAATGTCACAGGTCAGCGCCAACTGGGCAGCACCCACAATGGAACCTCCCCTTCTGATTGTAGGGTGCAAGATAATTGGGGGTAGGCTCTTCTTTAAGAACTTAGGTCTCAAGCTGTTATAGGCTTTGCATGCTTGTACTAACGCCTTCAATTGGGCCTGGCAGCTCACTATAAGAAGGTGGTTCTTACATCCAGGGCAAGTCAAGAAGAATGGGGGTGGATTTCTCCCTCTGGTTTCATTTCACATTTATAGATGATAATAGGGATTCTGATCTATCTCCTCTGTGAATCTGGAAGCAGGTGGTGGTTATTTTTGTTATAATCCAGGTTGAAAGGCTGTGGCCATCCATGCTTTTCCAGGCTCTCAGTGTATAGCCTATTACTACTGCAACCCAGACTTCGGGTGGTTTTCATGCATTTTTGACACTTAACTGTTTTAAGTGATTTAAGCGTGGTTCTTCTAACGGATTCCAGGACTTGTCTCGTTCAGATGCAATGCAAAAACATGGTATAGCATCATAGGAACAAGCCTGGCTATGCATGGCCGCAAGAAGACCAGAAGTTTATGCTTCCATTTTTAATCTAATCTGATCTTACTGTTATGTCTGAATCTGGACAAGCTGTGGTCAGCCTTAACTGGTTTATTGAAGCAAGTCAACTTCAAAGTGTAGTGGAGCTGGCTTAATAAACTGTAGTTAAGTGTAATCAAAGTTAACAGTGATCAGTTGGGCACTTTAACAATACAGAAAGCTAACTGGTTTAAATTTGCCATGGCTGCAATGTTTATATGGCTAGCAAAAAAATATGAATCAACTTTGCAATTCCATAGTAAATAGAAACTAGTAAGAATTCAGTTTTGAACAAGATAACAGGAGGCAATCAACTACAGGGCACTTCTAGACAATTGTCTTCTGGTGCTACTGAATCGTTCTTTCAGTGCTCAGAATTGCAGTTGACTTTCTACCCTAGTGCTGTGTGAACATGGTATGTTTTTTCCACACCAGTGGGCAAGACAGCTCTGTGGATGGAGCCATTTGAAACTTGGAGTTTTAGAAAGAAACAAGATCATAGAATCATAGACTCATAGAATTGTAGGGCTGGCAGGGGCCTCAAGGATCATCTACTACAGGGGTGGCCAACTCCCAAGAGACTATGACTACGATCTACTCACAGAATTAAAGGTCAAAGTTGCTGAGCTTTTTTGGGGGGGGGGCGTATGCAGGAATATGCAGGTGGGATTGAACCCATGACCTTGGCATGCTCTAACCAGCTGAGCTAGAAGGAGGAAAATATTCGTCAATTTACTCAGGACCGGGCCTGATTTTATTCAGCTTTATTAAGACTGCATTCAGATCTAGGGCTTATTGCATTTGTTTTATTGGTTGTAATGCTAGTGCTTCAGTCCTGATTATGAACATTCCTTTTATACGGCAGTACCTGTTGCAATAAAAAACCCTGTGGCTTTTTGATAGATACACTAGCATGTCATGTTAATTTTTTAACAGCTGGGATACGGGCCAAATTTCATCAAGTGTGTGGCAGTGGTGTGATCATGAAAACCACAGGAAAATTACAACACCAAACTTCTGTGACTTTCCAAGATAATGTAGCTGCAAATGGTTTTTTCCTCCCTGGAAAAAAAATAACATGGAAATGAGTGCTAAATGTTTGCTAGATTCCACTAAATTTCCAGAAGTGACTTTTACATTGTGCGAAAGATCACATAAACCTGAAAACCAGAATAAAGTGCTGTCTTGTACAGAATCTTGTTTTTCTGGGCCAAAGTGCTTCCCTTCCACCAAAACAAAATGTGGTCAGTGTACTTAGTGATTCTTCATACATGTTTTTATACATGCAGGTCCCGTTTTATGAACACAATTTCTTCCCTGGAAACTTTTCGTTTGGCAAGCTCTTACATAATGAATTAATTTTGTTTGCATGACAAGTTGACAATTTCTATTGATTCCTATGGGGGAATCTCTAATGCGTTCTCAACAATGGACTTCATGGTGTGTATAGTGAGGTTTGGGTACTAATTCCTTGTGTTCAGATAAACGAATATTCACATAGCAAGCATTCATAAAGCATGACTAGCGTATATATGCCCCTTATATTTTTAGGTTTTCATTTAAAAGAAAGAACTTGATTGTGAACAACAGTTATACATGTATAATTGACTGGCTGTGAATCTGTTAGGAGTGGTGGTTCTCTATTGAATAGCTTCAGTGTATTCTGCATTTAGAAGGAATACTGAGTTTCACTCTGTTTGACTTGCCCACTTTATCCTCCTCTGGTTCTTTTGGTCCTGTTTTAAATCCCTATGTGGGTCAAGCTAGAAGTTGCACTTAATGCCTGGATGCCTACATGCTTGCACAGTTGAGTGCATATAAGTGTTCAGGCCCTGCTAATATCTCCCTGTGTTGCTTCCGTTTTTACTCTTTTCGGTTACCTCACTTTAAAGGCTGAAGGTGTTCCCTTTTCCTCTTCCACTGTATTAAGTTGACCTTCCTTCTGCAATTAGAGACATTAGAGCTTGCGCTCACTGGCGAGAGCCAACTTTGGCATGGTTCAGCCTGAAAAAGGAAAAAATCCTCGCAATTCTAAGGCTACTTGCCCTGTTCTGTTCTCTGATGATCTGAGCAGTGTGTGTTCATTCCTCCTCATTCTCCCTGGATAGCTCTCACCTTTCCAGTCAGTCAGGGTAATTTGCCCTGGCACCATTTTGGCACAGGCTGGACCTCAGCATCGCTAACAGCCAGGGTCAGCTGTCAGCCTCGGAGCCATAAGCCTAATTCAATATTACACATGTAGGTATTTTTTCCAAGTTCTCTCTGGGCTGCAGGCTTAAAGTCTCTGTTCTCAGCTGGGGTCCTTGATGCAGTCACTTCCCTTGCCGTTACACAACACCCCATTAGGAGGAATGGCACAAACAGGCTTGAAGGGGGCCCCTCCTCCTGCCCAGCAAAGCCACAGCCCCGAGGTTCACAGAATGGAATGGATTTTCAGTTAGGAAGAAAGCTGCTTTCTTAAACATTTCTGTTCCTTCTCCCATCTCAGTTTTGTCATCGTTTATCAGAAACACGCTGCGGCTCCTCGCCCTTGGGAAGCAACCTGGCTCTTCCTTACCTGCCTAGTCTGTACCAATGCCTAACAGTGACGTAGGGCCTGCAGGAAACCTGCCATGAAATTGGGGGTTTGTGTTGGAAGGTTAAACAAAAACAAAATCAGCATTCTGCTTGAATATTTGGGTCTTAAAATACAATTGCAATTTATTACCAGGGTCCATTGTGCTTTATTGGCCATGGCCATGTAAATGTACAGTTTCATGAGCAAAAGAAGAAAAAAAGCTTACATTTCTGTCAACAGCAAAAAAGAACACGGGGAGAGAGAAACAAGGGCAGCATTCATTACTAAGGTCATGCCCAGCAGCCCATGTAAAACTGGATTTTTCTCTTAGTCAGTGTAGAGTCCAGTGGTTCAGCAGCAGTTGTGGACATTGTGCCCAATTAGCTGCAACCTGGGTAGCACATTCCTACCCGCATATTTTGTGGTCAGGATGATTCATTATGACGATTATACAGAGGAAACGGCTCTTGGGAGACTTCACTCAATATGATCCCCAGAACTGGCAATGGGTATGCTGTAGCAAAGGCCATAAAGAGCCAGTTCCCCTTTGGAAAATTCAAGTTTCAGACAAAACAAACAGTTTTAGGAGAGTCTGGAGAGGTCATGAATACTACAAAGTGCTGTCATATTTTGCTGGACTGTAGCATTGACAAGACTTGTATGTTTGTGTTGGCTGTCGCTTGGTTGAGCTTACAGCAAGCCTAAACATCCATGTGCTAGAATGTTACTGTACAATATTACTTCAGCTTCCAAAAATTAGGTGCACTTCCCCCCCTCCCCTTTACTCTTGCTTCTTGTCCCATGGTACTTCATCCATTAACTACCTATGCAATGTCTGTACATGCATTTGATTCTCTTTCACATTGGTGGTTAGCAGAGTAGACAAACTATGGGGCATGACAATCTCATTTCCAGAAACAGACAATCCACAAGCTTGTAGAGTAGAGAGGGGAGCTTTTGGTCCTCCAGCTATTACTAGACTACAGTTCCTATCATCCCTGATCATTAACCATGGGGCTGACAGGAGTTGGAGTCTAATAGCATGTGGAGAGCCATAAGTTCTTCAACCCTACTGTAAAGAATCCAGCTAGTTTTTAATATTTCCTACCTTCAAGAATAGGGGACGTGGGTGGCGCTGTGGTCTAAACCACTGAGCCTTGGGCTTGCCGATCAGAAGGTTGGTGGTTCGAATCCCCGCGACGGGGTGAGCTCCCGTTGCTCGGTCCCTGCTCCTGCCAACCTAGCAGTTCGAAAGCACTTCAAAATGCAAGTAGATAAATAGGTACTGCTCTGGCAAGAAGGTAAACGGCGTTTCCGTGTGCTTCTAAGCCAGAAGCGACTCCCTCAGCCAATAAAGCAAGATGAGCGCCGCAACCCCAGAGTCGGTCACGACTGGACCTAATGGTCAGGGGTCCCTTTACCTTTACCTTTACCTTCAATAATCTCTTTAACACCTGCTGTTGAACCTTTGTGTGCTGCAGGAGACTGGAGTATGTTCTAGGTGCCCCCCCCCATGTGGATCACTGGCCTCACCATTGCTGTGTATAAGCTGGGAATGTATCCAGAAACACACACAACATCTTGCGGTAGCTATGCACTGCTGGAAAATTGATAGGTATAGGAGAAGGCTATGAAAACTAGGGTATGGTTCCTGGATGAAACGGTGAGGTCCCTCCCATTGCTCTCCTAACCTGTTGCTGTACCTTCTTCCTTGAATGGTGGGGTTTTTTGGGTAGTTTCCTTACTGGGACAACATGGCATGAATTTTAGCCTACTTTTATAATCCTTTTGGTTTATCTTTTAAAAATGTTTTATGGTATTTTGTGTAAAGGCATGGACCTCACAAATTTAATAAATTTGTTGTTGTTGTTGTTGATAGGTATAGGAAATAAATGTTTCAGGAAGGCTTGTCTGCTTCTACTGATCTTGTTGAGGTTGATAAACTTTCAAGGAACTGCAGTGTTCAAAACAGTTTTGAAACCACCAATTTAAGGCAGCAGCAGTAGCTAAAGTTGCAGGAAAGCAGTATAAGGGGCCCACAGCCATTATCAAAGTTAATACTGATGCATATGTGCAAGTTCTTAAGTTCTCCCTTTCCATGATGCATCTATTAATTAAGGGTAGTTGTGGCAGTGGTTTCAATGATATTTTGATCTGGGTTGAGGGGGCTTGTACTTTAAGAGTATGCATGTGTGCTTCTAGTGTAAATGATTATTAGCAACAGAAATCTCACACCGCTGCTGCCCATGCTATTTTCTGTCCTTCAGAAGTGATTTGCTGGGGGACCACTCCTCCTCTGCATACAAGCCCATTTGTTGGCATCTGTTTTGTCTCGGGAGACAATGGACAAGTGTGCCTTCAGGGGTAAAGTCAAACCATTGGAGAGTTACAGCTGTAGAGGCCACATGCAAACATATGTCATGGATTGCACAAGCTGTCATGGTCAGTAGTGTTCTGTGCTTCATCCAGTGCACAATTTCCCATGGCTTATGCACCCCGGTTCTCTGTCAATGCAATACAGCCCTACAGCTTGTTTTAAAGTGTGTGGATTGTCCTTTTGTTGCATGGCTACTTCCCCCACCCCCTGTGCAGGCTAATACTGTGCAATTAAGGGCTTAACTACTATGTTACAACTTGTAAAATGTGGTCAGGTGTGCATTGATTCCTCATGTAGTCTAAGTCAGGCTCCCCATATATCTCTCTTCCTTGTACTGCATGTAGCACAGATTGAGACCAAGGCCTTTTGGGGTGCTGGAGGCTAATCCCTGGACAACGGGAGGGAGAACAGAGGCCACTGATAACAATGTGGATATTTCTTATTACAGTGGTACCTCGGGTTACATACACTTCAGGTTACATACGCTTCAGGTTACATATGCTTCAGGTTACAGACTCCACTAACCCAGAAATAGTACCTTGGGTTCAGAACTTTGCTTCAGGATGAGAACAGAAATTGTGCTCCAGTGCCGCAGCGACAGCAGGAGTCCCCATTAGCTAAAGTGGTGCTTCAGGTTAAGAACAGTTTCAGGTGGACCTCCGGAATGAATTAAGTACTTAACCCAAGGTACCACTGTAGTATTATTTTAAAGTCAAGTGCTCTTCTCATGTACAGGGAAACAGGTTTGGAAAAGTTCACTGGATTTAACAGGGATGGTTCCCTCACATGGGATTCTTTCCCACCAACCCCCTTTCCTCATTGGTTTCTCTTTTGTTTGAGGGGAAGCTGTGCAAGCAGGAGGCTTTCACATACCCAGTGATACAAGTATGCCACAGATGGGATCATATCAATGTTTTTGCAAGTGAAGGCAAGACTGACTGAAGTTTGTTTGGACATATAATTCTTTCTGGCTTCACAAAAATCTGGACACGCTCCATCCATAATCTCATGTTTACTTCTAATGGACAAAGCTCCCAAAATATGAACAAAGCTGAATGGGTGACAAACCTAGCCATTACCCTGAATATTTATTTTAGCGACAGTGCCAGGCACAGATGTTCTCTCTTTTGATGGGATCTTCAGCTAGAAGAGGAAACAAGGGTATCAGCTATGACGAATTCTTGGACATTCTATTCTGCTCTTGGGAAGAAGGAAAAAGCCCCAAACTAACCAGCACTGACTCATGTGGTGGGTGTTTCTCTTACTTGCCATTATGATAATGGCTCTTAATTGACATTGTTGCTGTGAGGGATGGGGATGAATATTTGGATTGTACTGAATGTCTGAAATGCAAAAGACAACTCTGGTTTTGCAACTGCAAGATACCTCTGGAAGTGAGTTAATGTGTCAAGGATCTGATCACATTGATTCTTGCATTGGTTTATCAGGAAAGAATGAAAGTCCATGAAGCCAGATGATCATTATACTTCCCACTACACATTTGCACAGAGTCTGCTGCTTCGTAGAGCAATAGACATGATGACCAAGCTATCCCTAAGATTCCTGCATTGCAGGGGGTTGGCTTAGATGACCCATGGGTCCCTTCCAACTCTATGATGCGAAGAGTGGCTTAAATGTATGGGAAGGATGGGAACTGTATGTTGACGTAGATAGTATTAAGAAGAGGCAGCGTTATGTTAGGGTCATTGCATACTCCTCATCTGTCAAGATTTGAGCAGAACATCCCAGAATTACTGAAGCCACCCTGGCTTCTGATTGGATCCTGGAATTTCCCGTTTTTTGGTCTTGTGCAAATCAGGTGGCTCTCACTAGAGCTCAGGACCAAAAAAACGAACGTCCTGATTTTGATCAGCGGGATGTTGGAGGGTATATCATTGTTCTTGAAAGAGAGGATATACGATGCTCTGCAGCTATGCCTGCCACATCCTTGTATAATACTCTCTCTGCCAACAGTATCTAAGACTGGGCGTCCTTTAAGCTTTTCTAGATGTATTGATTAATTGCTAGGGGAACTGACTGCGCAATTAAGAATTACAAAATGCAAAACTTCCTGACAAGAAAATTAGATAAGGTAGCAATGCATGTAAATAGATTTTTATAAGGGACTTAACAGGATATTTGAACAAAGAGGGAAGCAAATGCAGCATTTCAAAGTCTCTTTTTGTTTAAATTCCATAAGCAGCATCCAATAACTATTTTAAGACGCACACAGCTCATAGATTTATGTCAGCAAAACACATTGATTTGCTTATAATTTTTTTCACGTGGACCACAATCAGTCTTCACTCGTGCTAAATTTGATTTCAATGTGAGTTCGGAGGTCGAATAATGGGCCCCCCTGAGTTGTAATTTTGTGAGACTCTTCTGGACCAGTTTCCCATCAAGCCCAGCTGTCATTTCCCCACAGTCTTTGTGGGATCCTGACAAAGTGGGTTCACATATGGGTTTTCTGTGGTCCATTGAGGCTACAGTGGCCTTCATCATTCGGTTGCCACTTGTTGTTAGGGTCAGGCCTCTCTTTCTGCACATGAAAGGGAACTACAATCGTGCATTGTGTGAGACTCTATTGTATTAAATATGGTCTCCCCTTTCCCAGCAGCATAGTGGGATAGAACTTCTTTCGAAGCCAGGAGGGGAGTTGCTCCCAGGGCCACCTAGATTTAAAAAAAAGTGTACAGAAAATAAATCCATACAAAAGCTCTCAGGAGCCCCACATTCCTCTCCTAACCTCTTCAGGATGGATTGTTTTCAGGGTTTTCCCCAGCAGACAGACAGTTTCCTAGGACAATACACTTTCCAGCAGTGTA